CAGAAAAATGCCAACACCACAGTGAGACATGGAGGGCATGAAGAAGGAGAAAAAGGACAGGACACACCCAATTTCCTCCATCTTGTCCCCTTTGGACCCCTTATCTAGAATCCTAAAATTTTACTTTTGCACCCATGCCACACTTAATTATTACTGATATCAAACACTCAGAGCTGGTAATTCATCCTGTAATATTGAAAACTCTTTTCCATGGACAGGTATCACAGACAGTGTCTCTGGGGGCTCTGTCCAGGGGGCTTCCTGACCCCTGCCAGGGTCCCAGACTTTCCAGGGCAGCCAGAGGGAAGCCCTTGATTCCCACACATACAAGTAAAGCAGCAATGGACAAGGTTAGGAAAAAGGCTTTAATTAAGAAAGAACTAAAGATCAATCAACTGCAAAGCTTCTTTTCTCTGCTGTTAAGAGATGGCAGCCCTGTGTTCATAAAAAAGAACAGGAATAATATTGTCTATGATTATGCTGAGACTGCCACACAAACAGCAAACAGCTGCTTTCTGCAATCTTCTTCAAACTGGTGATTGAAACAATGAGGAAAAAGTACATCCTGATCAGCTGATGATTAAAGAATCTCTGGCAGAAGAATGACTACAGCCCTTGCCTGATCAGCATCAGTAGAACTTCTCTCATCCAGGAGATGCTACCCTAAACCAGAACTTTGAGGACAGATCAAAACTGCTCCCACACTTGCAGGGTGGGGGCAGGCAGTGTCAGGAACGGTCACCCATTACTGAGGACATGTCATGTCAGTAAACAACAGTGTCACCCAGCTCAGGTATGGTCCCTGTGGAGTTGACAAACAAAGAACAAACATCTCTCTCATGTTAACCATGGTTCTGTATACTGCTTGCCATAGCTATCCTTAACCTTGAGAAATCCACTTTTGATCATGGACCCCATCATCTGCTCTCTAGGCAAAAGTCTCAGGTAGTAACCAATAGCCCACTGGTGAGCAGTTCTTCGTGTCTGCTTCCCACAATGTGCAGCATACCACCTACCACAGTGGCAGGTGATGTTTTCTGCCATTACCAAAGAAAAGCCAAAAATAATAGAATATTCAATTAGCTTTTATAAATAATAAATAAGATCCAACTCAAATTTACACACAGTTGAGAACAACAAAAATGAGCTTTCATTCTGAACACTGCGGAAAAAGAAAATAGTCTCCTATAAGCATGCAGAGCTTAGATGCTTACATATATATTTAATAACACAGAGAGAACAGTATGCAAATTTCACTGGATTATGTTTAACTGTGTTTCTACACAGAAGTTAAGAGCTGCTTTGGGGTATGTTTGTGGGGGTTGTGGGATTTGGAGGGTTTATTTTTATTTAATATCTTATTTCACACTAAGCCTAATCATTTTATGAATGCAAATTCCAACAGTTAATAATTGTCGGAATTTGCTGAATTGTCAGCAGAAAATCCAATCTACTAGGTTGGTCCCAAAAGTAAAAGGATATGATTCTCCCATTCCAGTAAATCAAAAATCTGACAACTATGTGAAGGCTTACTGCTTCCATAGTCCAAAACCAATGTCCACTACCCACTACCAACACAGTAAAACTATAAAGTTTCCTTTTGTGGACATATAAAAAGAATAAACAGACCTTCCTAAATGGATGAGGAAAGTATTTAACAAAGGTGGTCCAAAGGAAGAGCTTCATGAATCCTGAAGAAGTTTGTTATGTTCAAGGATTAAGACCTTTTTAAAGTCTGGATGAAAAAACTGGAGACAGAAAGCTCAAAGTAACCAAAAGGTTAAAAAGTAACCAAATATTCTCCAGTTTACTTTCTGATTACCGCATCAGAATACTTTTCAGAATTGCTCACACAGAACGCTGTTACAAGTTGGTTTATGCTCATGCTAAAAGTCGAATGAAATTATATCTACGTTGTCTGTTTGTTCTCTTACTTTTGCTACATGTGTGCTGTCAGTAGAATTACACTTTGCCTCTCGCATTTCAAAGGGATACTCCTTCTAGCCTCCAGAGATCTACAGCATAGAAATTCCCTAAATTAAATGTATTTATTTTGTTCATAGCATGATTTCACATGACAAGTGATGTTTCATGCTTAGAAACAGCTAGCGATTTTGAAAGCATGGAAGATACAATATATCATTAAGTGATACAAAGGGACTTTAAAGGTACTTTGGTTTTGGGCATATATGTACTGATTGCAGGTACTCCAAACCATCTCCAAATAAGACACTCTAGTATCTGCTCTGCTTAAACTAAATTAAATCAAACCCTATTCCCAACACTCCGAGCACCATTAAATCAGCATCTCAAGGGGTGAAAAAAGGAAAAAGAAAAAAAATTTAAAAGCTACACAGTGGCACAGCGATCCATCACATCCCAGAAGTTACAGTCCAGGCTGTTTATTGATAGGCTTTCCACAGCACCTTAACATCACCTCAGTGGCGGGACACCGCACCTTGCTGAGAGGGTTTGGGCTTGCACAGGACGGGACTGTCCCCAGTGTGTCACCGACTACCTCCTTCCGGCATGAGGAAAGGAGAGTACCGCGGAAAGCAGACACCACAGAATAGGGAAAAGCAAGGTTTAGGGAAAAAAGTCACGCAGTTTTGTTCCAAAATTCGAGGAAACAAATCAGAGTCGCTTACACAGACTTGATTCCGAGTATTTACGGAATCTGTAAAATATTTTCTACAGTCAGAGGCAAAGCCAGTCTAAACCCTTTCAAATCTCCCATCCCATTGCATCAGCCATCAAGACAGAGGCCGTAGGGGACACCCAACACCCTGGTACCAGAGTACGCGTGTGCTGTGGGCGCGGGGCACTGGAGAGCTCGGACCGCCCGCGACCCCGGCCGAGCCCCGCCCGTGGCCAAGGGCCCCACAGCGGCTCCGCGCTGCAGCCCGGCCGGCGCGGGAGCCGCCAATACCGCCCGCAGCGCCGCGTCCGCCCCGCTCCACTCCCGCCACCGGCACGGGCTCCTCCCCGTGCCGAATCCCGGCCTGAGCCGCCTTGAATGTGTCGCCAGTAGCCCCTCAGCGCGACAGCGCGGCCAGAGAGCTGCCCCGCGGGGCCGCGCGAGTAGGTGCAGGGTCTCCATCGCCCCCGCTCCCCGCGCGGCGGACGGGCATGGCGCGGCGGCCGCACGGAGCCGCCACAGCGCACCCCGCGCAGGGAACGGGCGGGAACTGGCCGGGCGGGAACTGGCCGGGCGAGCCCCGGGCCACGGACCTGCCCCGGGATGGAGGTGGGGGGCGCCCCACAAGCAGTCGCTGCTGGTCCCCAACTCCGGCCGTACCTCCCGGGTGGTGACCTCCTCCTTCTCCGATATCTTCAGCAGAAGACGGTCGTTCTCCAGCTCCAGCGCCCGCACACGGTCAATGTAAACGGCCAGGCGGTCATTGAGCTGCCGCAGTTCCTCCTTCTCCTGCAGCCGGGAGATGCGGGTCGGCGACAGCGGGGTCCCGCCGGGGGTGCCGCGGCTCGGAGTGCCTGACATGGCGCTGGGCTGGCAGGCGGGCGGGCAGCGACTCATTCAATCCCGCCGCACCGGGGGAGGGAGCGCTAAGATGGCGGGCGGGCGGCCCCTCGCGCCGCGGCGCCGCCTGGGACATGCAGTCCCGCCGCCAAGATGGCCGCGGGGCTCAGCGCTGCCCGCCATTTTGCGCCTGATCAAGGCTCGCCGTTGCTGTTCGGATTACGCGTCAAGGACAGAACCGAGCGTGGGGCCGGTTCTGAAGCGAAGAGGTTTTGGTGGCGACTGTGGAAGGGGCCAGAGCGACCAACAGGACTGACCTTCACCCGCTCCTGGCGGAGCAGCAGCCCGGGTCGCTGACGGGGCTCAGGCCTGTGGGCTGATGGGTTCACTGAAAGGTGTATTCGTGTGTTTTCACTGTAGTTCCCTAAAATACCGCCCACAGCCGCCTGTGCACTGTGTGATTTTGCCCGTCTTTGCTGTCCGCTCTGCACAGGATAGGGTCCAGCTCTGTGCTGAAATGGAGAAAGCATTAGACGTCCCCAAGGTTGATGTTTTTAGGAGTTCCTAAAGAGTGATGTTTTTTGGCTACATAGTTAAAGTTTGTACAAACTAAAATTTGCTGAGTTTTCTGTTCCTGAATATTTGGAATTGTATTTTCCCCCAAAACCTCAAATTCTATCTGTTCTTGCACATTAACAAGTATAAACTGGATTACCATTCCCAAAAGCTATTCTTGGTCTTGTGCCTTTCAGCTACAAGGAAGGGCTGAGAAAAAGAAGTTGAAAAAACTGATTGAAAAGACTGTCATCTGTATGAACAGCAAAGAGAAAAAGTAGCAAGAGCATTATACAAAGATAGGTCTGGATAGAAAAACAGGAAAGACAGCAAGAAAATACAACATACAATGAAAACTTAGGGAAAACTTAGGGACCCAGGGTGAAAAAGCAGGTAGTAGTTATTTGGTCTCAAAATAGAACTAAAACAATCTTCATGTGAAATCCTGGTATCAAATACACCTCAAACTGGAAAACCTTGGAATAAACCCAGGAATTCTGGGTTCTCAATATCCATGTGGGCAAATAGCTTTAAGTCTCCCTAGCAATCACTGCATAAATCACGGTTTTTCACCTGACTGCATTTACCTCAAAATCTGCATCTGATACAAAACTAGCTGTCCTGGCTGTGTGGGACAGCAGAGTGCCTGTCCCACCTGCTCATGCATCATCTCTCCTGGAACAGCGCTGCATGTCCCTTCACCTCTGTCTCCTACCAAGAGCCAAGGACAGAAATTTCCACACCAGTCTGTGGAGTTGTGGATATCAGTGGGTTCCCCAGAGGGTGTTTATGAGTGACAGCTAAAATGAAAGCAAGATCACTTCCCATGTACTTTCTGAAAGGCACAATCTCTCTACATGAGGGTCACTGCCGGCAGGGTGCTGCTAGTGAGATCTGATGATATAATGAGCGAATTAGCATGACATTCAGCTTTCTGCCTGAATCGGGAAGGAAGCAGAGACTACAAATCCCAGGGTGCTGTGGTCGCTGCTCGTAATGAGGTCGGAACCTGCCCCATCTGCCTCTTGCGCTTTGTTCCAGCCACACTTGGGAGTTGCAGTACAGCACAGTGCGTGTTTTGAATTTTGGCGCCTGTCTGTAAACTGTAGCCGAACTGCTGCTGGACCGGCTCCAGCACCCTTCCGGCCCCTCCTCCTGCCTCACGCAGTCCGTGTCATCTCTAACACCCGAGCAAACAAAAAAAAGACCCCTGAGCATCAAGCCGTGCACTTAAGAGTGAACTTTTTCTCTCTTTAACATTCAGTTTCTAACACTAGCAAATTTGTGGAAGACCAGCTATAAACTCTGTGTTAAGACAGGAAAAATATTTTAAGAATGCTGAAAGCCTCTGTATAAGCATTTTTGGGTTAGCTCACTTCTCTTGTTATTTGATGTGATCATCTGTACATCTTTCATATTTTAGAAATTATTTTAAGCTTTTTGCCTAATTTTGATTGATAATGTAAACCAGATGTAAATCCCCTTTGTTCATGAAGTTGAGAAAATGGCTTAGAAACTTTATTACAAGAGTTTGTGCGCTTTGGAATTTGTTGGGTTTTTTTGTTTGGTTTTGGTTTTGGTTTTGTTGTGGCTGTTTTTTTGGTTTTTTTTTTTTGGTGGGTTGGCTTTTTTGTGGTTTGTTTCATTTTGGGTTGGGGGTTTTTGTGGGGTTTTTTTTTGTTTGTTTTGTTCTTTTTAATGTTTGTTTGGTTTGGTTTTTATCCCCTTCTGGTGTTACTGTGTATTTTCATAGTGTTGCTATCAACTGTACTGCAATAAATATTTTTTCAAAATATACTTCCTGAAATTTGCATTGATAATTACCTGATATTTCTACATTTTTTAGGAAGACCCTTTCTTTAGCAGTAACCTGGACACTTGCACAATTTCATCCTTGACACCAGTCTCCACTTGTTAACTGAATATGTTCACTTTTCCTATCTCTTCTAAAATGAAGGGAATGGTTTGGGGGTGAGATGGGGAGAGGAAGCATCAAGGAAGAAAGGGAAGTGGAAAAGCTGAGTGGCCACTCACCAGCTATGTTTCAGTGCAACATATGTTTCAGTTGTGGCACTGGTCCTCTTGGATCCCTCCAATGATAGGGATTTAGTATTGAACCACATTCAATATGGTGATTCATCTCTTAATATTTAGCAATTAGTTTTTCATTAGAGGCCTTGACAGGTCTTTGCTACCAAAAAAATTTCACAATAAACTCCATCTGGTTTGAGCAGGTAGAATGGATTTGTAACCCCAAGACAAAATAATTTAGTACTTGACCAAGGGATGGTATAGGAATGTGTCAGCCTCACCTGGCTGGGAAAACAGAAGATCCTGGCAATCCCTGGGGCTGCATTCCTGCGCATTCAGATTGGAAACCTGTTCAGAGTACACTGCAGCTCCTGCCTTGCCCACTCTTCCAGGCTTTCCCTTTGTGGAAGGTGGAGCAGAGGAGGAAACTGCTGCAGGTACAGGTCCCACCCTGATAAAAAGTCATTTAAGCTCTAGCTCAAAGACACTTGCAACATAGCTGACTGTGTGCATAGGATAAGACTAAATTTTTGGGATGTCAGACACAGACAGTAGAGATTGGATCTGTTTAGGTATGGAGTGTTTCTTCTACCAGATAAATAATGGAATTGCTTCCAGTACGTAATAAAGACAAAGGAAAACCTTGTGTAGCCTTTGATGCAGAGCTCCTTCTCATTTGTTGACCAGTTTCCTGTACATTTGCGTCTAACAAGTTTTCTGATACTATCTGGGATTTTATAATGACTGACATTTTCATAAATCTGGAGATACAGGATTTCCAATGCTATTTCTTAACTGCTTTGGTTTCTCAGCAGTTGCTGCCATGGCCTCCTGTTTCTCATTTTACAGTCTTGTATTTATGTGTCTTGAATAGGATTATTTCTAGCTTTCTCCTTCTAGAAGGGACTCAACATATATTACATAACATTTTCCTATCAGTCCAAATTCAATCTGGCCTCAGCATTAGTGCTCAAAAAATTGCTAGTAATGAGTCCAAGTCTGGAAGTAGTACTCATACCACAGAATTCTGCTCCTGAATTTCATCTTTCATTGAATAAAATTGTTTCCAGCAGTGTCAGGACAGAAAGCACTAAAGCAAGTAGATAAAATGAATGGTATACCATGAGTAATGGGTGAAATCTTCCTCATGCACTACGAGAAAGTTTGCTGGGATGTAAAAAAGAGCAAAGAGGAACATGGCACACAATTGTGGGCTTAAAGCCAATAGCAGACTGACTGCAGGACAAGGTTTTTTTCAAGACAAGACATCACACTGTAATGTGTAAAGGGTGTGTTTTTTTCTGAATCCAGCATCTATTGTTTGACAGGAGCCTTGAAAAATAATATTCTTTTGCTACAAAATTTACGTCCTTACTGTTATGTGTAGTAGTAGAAATTCATGCCATTTCTAGTATGATATATGTGATATTGAATATCTGTTGGACACATTTGTATTAGGACTCCCCCCAACCCTCGCAGGTGAAACCTGGTGTATGTTGAAGCCCGATTTACACGTAGAAGGATGCGGCTCGGCCAGGAGATGGACCATGTCTGGAGAGATACGGGGGACCCCAGGCGCTGATCATCTGGTGAACGACCCGGGATGGATATCATGGAAATCCTCGGACAGATCCATGTGAATGCAGTGTTCCCGTAAATTTCATCAAGAGATTCACCAACTCCTGACACTGAATTTTTCTTCTTCATCACTGAAAAATAAAATCTTATTAACCTATGGACTCTGAATAGAAGAAAAAACTGACTGATGAAATCTTGGCCTCAGGTGGAATTTTCCCTATAAAAACCACTTGTGCCAGGATGGAGGTGTGTGGCATAAAGGAAAACCTCTGCTGAGGCTGACTTTTTTGATGCACACCCAGTGCCAACCCCGGGCTCAGCTCTGTTCTTTCCTTGTGGCTGGCTAGATAGAATATGATTGCAAAATAAATATTTTATTTTTTAAATATTAGTTTGGTTGGACATATTTTCATTTATAACATTACTGAGGCAAAATTCAACCTGTATCACACTGGAGGAAGTGTTAACCAAGTCTGGACAGAGAGAATTCTGGTTTATGCTTGGAATTGTTCCCTCTTTTGTGGCAGGAAGGCAAGTAACTTCTAAGCATGGCCCTTTAAACTCTTATACTGGAACCAGACACTGGTCTCATGTGATCAGAAAGAAATTATAATTTAATTTAAAAACCACAACATATTTCCCAACATTTCAACAGAAAAGGGGTAAAAGAAGATGCTGAGGGGTCAGTGCTCAGGGTATCCCAAGTTTCCAGAATTCCATTGTCATTTTTCTACAGAGTGATTTGTTTATAATAGCATCTTGGAGGTTAAAGGTTTTCCTTTTGTTTTTCTTTTCTCTTGGGGAATTTCCTCCCATCCCCTTTATTTTTTTGTAAGAAACAATAACGATTGGGTACTTAAGAAGGGCAAAATAAATTGCCAAGCTCAGTGGAGAGAAGGGCATCTGGCTGCATTTCTCTGAGGGTTTCTGAAATCTGAGGGTTTCTCTCAGAGTGGCAAATACTGCAAGGATTGGGCTGGTAAAAGAAAGGGCTGGGGCAGCTACAAGATGGCTTACTCTCGGCTTCAGAGGAAGAGGGCTGGAGTTGATAGGGATCACTGCCACTGAAGGAGCCCAGCCCGATATTGCTGCTTCTGCCAGGACTTTTGCCCGTGACAGCACTGAACTGGGACCTTACTGACACCTGCCTCAGCAGAAAGGACCCTCTCCGTCTACTCGGGTGCCTCAGGGGAACCCCCGCGATCCCCAGGCCCCCTCCCCCTCCCAGCGGAGTTCGGGAGCCGAGCGGCCACCGCCCGGCCCCGCCGCTTCTCCGCCACGGCTCCGGGCTTCTCACTGCCCCGGAACTCAGCGCCCCTGCCTGCCGGGACACCCCTCGGCTCCTGCTACAGCTGCGGAGTTCCTGTTACATTCTGTTTGCTACTCCGGAGTCTGCTCGTCCCTGCGGCTCCAGACACCGCTCGAGGTTCCTGCTGCGGCCCACTCGCGCCATCCAGCCCGCCGCCATTGCCGTGGGGCGAGGCGGCTGAGCCCGCGCCACAGCGCCCCCTGCAGCCGCGGGGGAATCATCGCACCTGCCCGGCCCGGCCGGGAGCCACCGGCGCCCCTGCCGGCTGTGCCCGGAACTGCGCCAAAGGGGAGAGTGCGGGCGGCCGGGAGAGGCAGGGCCGGGGCTGGGCTCCGGGCCGGGGCTGGGCTCCGGGCCGGGGCCGGGGCTGGGCCGGGGCCGGGGCTGGGCTCCGGGCCGGGGCTGGGCTCCGGGCCGGGGCCGGGGCTGGGCTCCGGGCCGGGGCTGGGCTCCGGGCCGGGGCCGGGGCTGGGCTCCGGGCCGGGTCTGGGCTCCGGGCCGGGGCCGGGGCTGGGCTCCGGGCCGGGGCTGGGCTCCGGGCCGGGGCCGGGGCTGGGCTCCGGGCTGGATCTGGGCTCTGGGCCGGGTCTGCGCTCCGGGCCGGGGCCGGGTCTGCGCTTTTGGCCGGGAGTGGATTTGTGGTTCTGTTGCTTCTGCTGCTGCGGTTGTTTGTTTGGTTTATTATACCTTCTGGTAAAGAACTGTTATTCCTTTCCCGTATCTTTGCCTGAAAGCCCAATAATTTTGCAGTTCTAATACTTTGGGAGGAAGGTGGTCACATTTTGGATTCCACGGCAGGTTGCCGCTTTCCTTGGCAGACATCTGTCTTTCAAACCGAGACAGAGATTTTCTCTGTCTCAAGACGGATGAAGTTTATTTTAGTGTACTTCCTCTTTTCCAAATACAGAATCAGCACAACCTATGGCCTGCCTGACAGAGGCACAGAATGCACAGCTGAATGGTGTTCCCTGGGACCCCACTGTCTTCTGAAACTGAAGCTCATCCTTCTCACTGCAGAGGTATAGATTCTTAAAGCAGGCAAACACACCAGATATAAACTGATTTCCACCTGTCCTTTTGACTGCATTCATCTTTCAGCCAGCCCCTTTCATGACACCATGGCTAAAAATACACACACACCTCCCAAGATCCACCACCTGCAGCTATGGAAGTGCAAATCTCCCTTCCCTTCTTCTAGGGGAGCCAGAATTTCCATAGGGTCACTGTGAAGCCTGTACCCAACAACAAACTGTTTTGTAACATCGGATGAAAGATCCTCTCACAGGATGTGCTTCCATAGCTGGCACAGTGGGGGAAAGCCCTTTACCTGTCGTTTCCAAGTATTAACTGACTCATCTCCCCAGAAGGGAGGAGGACAAGCAAGACAGTAGCCTGATACTGCTCAGCAGTGCTTCACCTTCCTCTCTTATCCGTTCTTGGCTAAGGTCTTGCAAGGTGCAGGTATTTGCATTTGCCAAGATCTAGATCTAGTTTTCTGCTAGATATCTTCCAGTAGGCAGCATGGGTCACCCCATAAGCCAGTAGCCTCAAGTAGCTAGAGATGGTCATAGGGAAGGCAGGCAGGAGACAGGCTCAGCTTCATGCTTAAATCCAGGCTACCTTAAATTCAGAGGCTACTGTCTTATGTTAATTAACAAAATATGCATAGCAACCAATGTGAAAGAACTTCAGAACCATTCCCATAGGTAATAAGAGGCTTTCCCTTTGAGATGAAAGGGTGTTGCTCTTAATGTCTGGTTTCTTCTGGAAGTGCCCCTTCTCCAGTGCATCCTGGCTGTTCTGCATCAGGCCTCTAGACCTGAAACAGCTGGAAGCCCCACTCACTTCTGCAAGTCTCAGGGCTGTGTGGTTCTAACCTGTGCTTCACATGTCCAAGAACAGTGTTTCTCCAAGTGATGAAGCCTCTCTGTCTTCCAGGAAATAATTACTCACAACAGCAGGCAGCAAAAATCTCTTCATGGGGTTCATCACACACACTATTCTTGCAACTGTGGACCTCTGAGGGCTGGAATTACTCCTATACACAGAAGAACATGGCTCTGAAAAGAGGGCATGAAGACAACAGAAATGATTTGTCTCTTTACCAGCTAAGAAGTGGCTGTGGCTGTGAGACACAAAACCTGTGATGATGATGAGCAAGGCCTCTCTTACAAACACATAGTGCTGTGATAGCCCTATTTGGGCACTTGATGGTAATTGCCACTAATGCTCCACTGTGCTCCTTCGTTGTCCTTTGGGCAGGAGTGTCCTGGTTTGTAAGATAAGCTTGTATTCTATTTGCCATCTGTTGGAGGTTGGGCAGGTTTGTTATCTCTTCCAAGAACAATGGTTTGCTCCGAAGAGGTAATAGTTTGTTAATGAGCCATTGACTGACTCACTGCAGGCCTGGTAACGTAACACCATCCCATTGTGAGATGCTCCACCCAGAGGGGGAAGCCAAGCACTCTTTTATGGGATAAAGGGGTACCTTTTGGGAGACAGGGCAGCTCTCTCTCTCTTCTGCGGGATTCCCAGAGAAGCAGCTCCTTCGGCGGGATTCCCAGAGAAACGGCCGGAGTGCGGTAAGGCGGCGGCGGCGGAGCTCAGAGGCGGCCCCGGCGCAGAGGAAGACCGGCCCCAACTGCCACCAGATCTTCAGAGAAAACTATACCCTTCAAAAGATCACCACTTCAGCTGCAATTCATCAGCTACTGCAAGAGGAGCAGCTGTCATTTCAACTGGACTGCTACCAACACCCCGAATCCTCAGGGTGTCAGGTTGTGGACTTTATCACTAGTTTTTTGTTTGTACCAAATGCATTTGCCTTTTAAAATTGTTATCTAGTTTCTCCTAGTAAAGAATTGTTACTCCCATTCCCATATCTTTGCCTGAGAGCCTTTTAATTTAAAAATCCTGGTAATTCGGAGGGAGGGGGTTTACCTTCTCCATTGCACAGGAGGCTTTTGCCCTCCTTCACAGACTCCTGTCTTGTCAAACCAAGACAAGGAGAGAGCTGGACAAGAGTCTATTCAGCCTCTGTTGGTAAAATGAAAGAGGTGAAGGAGTCCCTGGTGTGTAATAGAACCAGGGAGCAATCGAAACCAAACTGAGGATTTGTAGCTATTGAGTCAGAAATTACACAGACTCACCAGAAGGCTGGTTTGCATAGCACCTCATCTTTACTTTGGAGCCTTTTTTTTTATACATTTTTTCAATACAGACAGACCTGGTTGGTCAATTAATCAACACATTTCACATGACTGGCTAATTAACAAGGCGCCTTTCTTATAAACAATCTTTGAGAAAAATAAGAAAGCAGAGAGTAGGAAAACAGCATCTGCAGGTTGTTTACAATAACAAGCTGTCATTATTCATCTTCAACTCCCTAAAGTCTCTCAAGCCAATTCTGGGAAAACTTACCTAGTTTTCTTGCTCTCTGATCAGGCTGTCACATCCACAGGTCCCCCTTTTTGTTTAATGGAGGAGGCAGTGTTTGTAATCCTCTGTGAGGTCCCTTGCAGAAAGGAGAGCACAGCTCAAGCTTCCTCTAGCAGTTGCTAGTTATTAATCAGAACCTCAACTGGACAACATTTTGAAATGGTCAGAGAAATCAAATCTTGTGATTCCCTCTTACCAGAAATACACTATTAATCTTAAAATCAGTTAGCTATTCTAATACAATCTCAATACTAAATCTAATACAGTAACAACTTATCATTAATTTGTTCAAAGAACTGACAGCCTGTCAACAGTTCTTTTTCAGAAACAAAGAAAGGATGGAACTTTTACTCCCCACTCATGGAGGGACCATCTGACTGATGGTTGACATCTTGATCATTGGTTGGAGGTTGCTTGTTGGACACATTCTCTTTTTGGTGTCACAAATCAGGATGGACACCTCACAGGTGCCCATCATACTCCAGTATCTGTGGAAACACATGCATACCCGTGGCCCCAGGTGATAAGGTCGTATCGGCCCTCCCACGTATTAGTGTCTAGGTCTTGTGTCCAGACGTTCGCTCAAGGCAGGTGCGTCTCACCTGAAGAGTGCAATGAGAGAAAATTATTTAGACTAACAGGATTCTCTGAATTCTGTGGCACTGTAAGATGATTGATTATATATCGAGCTTTTCCAAATTGACTATGTGGGGTCTCCCCAGGCATTCCCCTTTTTTGTTTGTTCAGACATGCTTTGAGGTACCATGAGTGCATTTGACAATGGCCTGGCCCACTGGAGAGTGCAGAATACCAAGTTTGTGTGACACTCCCCATAAATGTAAAAACTGCCGCATCTTCTGCGAGACATGGTGGGGCCATTATCAGTTTTCACAGAAAAAGGTATTCCCAAGATTGCAAAAGCCATCCTCCAATGGACAATCACATTGCAACCCTTTTCTCTAGTGTGAGCAGAGGCTCACATGGTGGAATAAAATGTGTCAATAGACATGCACATACTTGAGTCAGCCAAATTCAGCGCTGTGAGTAATATCTGTTTGCCAGAGCTGCAAGGCCTTTAGGCCTCTGCTGGTAAAGGTGCAGCAATTCCATGACACTCAGCACAAGAGCTGATGATGTCATGAGCCTCAGGTGGCATCAAATGAAATTGTTTCTGCAGGATATGTTTTTGCACTATGATGGAAAAAATCATGTGACGCTTTGGCTTGCACAATCTTGTCAGGTTGAGGCACTACCCATGCAGGGTTAGCCAACCTGTCAGCCCTGGCATTATCTTCTGCTATGAAACCTGGCAATTTGGTGTGACTCCAAATGTGTAAGTTGTAATACATATAAATTCAGGCCTGAATTGCACTCCATAAAGCTGTCAATAACTGAAACAAAACTGCATTATTGACTTCCTTCAGAAGTGAACAATCCAAACACTTGGTTATATCTGCAACAAAGGCAGAATCAGTGACCAAGTTCAGGGGCACCTGAGAAAATTTCTGGAGTGCCATGGCAATGGCTTTTAACTCAACCAGTTGGGCCAAGCCTTACTCATGGCCCTCCAGCATTTGCCATCCAGATTCATCCTTCCAGGTAACAATGGCTTTCCCATTTTTCTGGAACTGTCAGTGAAGACAGTGGGCCTTTGCACTGGCACCTGGCTACTTTTTAGCCGCAACAACAGGTTAGTTTTTTTTGCCAACTAC